TTATTTGTGAATTTCTCTACTTCTAGTTTTGTAACTATTATTTTCCAAGCATTTTTTTTGTCCTCCTACATTCACGCCCCCCCCCCCCCTGGCATAAAAAAAAAGTTTTCAAAAGTAGCGGGCTCACACTGCTGACAAAATCAATGTACGAGGACAACAAAAATGCTGGGAAAATAATAGTAACAAACCAAGAAGTAGTGTTTACTTACGAAAGAAGTCTTTCTTTGCCAAGTTCTTCGCACACAGGACTACAAAAAGAAACTGACATATTAATGACAGAGTAAATAATTATGTGTAATGGACTCACTTAAAAATGATATTTTCTTTAAAAAAAGGAATAACTTTTGCATGAAGCGCTATTATTAAAATTACTCAGCTTAAGGTGAAATGTTATTTTTCCAGTCAACATATTTCCCAATTAATTTTGGAATTTAACATACAACTAAATTAGAATATTTCACAATTTTTTTTATTTTATTTGATCTTTTTTTACCTTTTGGCCTATGTTTGTGTGTTTTAACAGCCTTGTCATATTTTGTAAGGGTGTTTTTAAAAAGGTAATAATAGTTTTTAAGTTATTGTTTAGTTGTGAAACTTAACTGTTCACACCGAGTAGCAGCATCCGTCATTTGCCGACATACTGGTATATGTACCTTTATGGCCCTTTATGGGCTGGGAGACCAGTTAAAAGTTTCTCATAGTAAATTATTAATTTGACAAGTCCTTTTTCCTGCATGACACAAATCCACAGAGTTTTGTTAGAACATAATAGTTTTAAGCCATGGTAGGAAACCAAGGGAGTTAGGCATATACATGGGGGCTTCCTTTTGCCTCCTCTTCTTCAAACTAAGAGTTAGTGTTTCCATGTTTAAACAACTTCTGAAGCATTATGGAGCCTTGATGAAAAAAAAAAAAAAAAAAGCAATCTGACTGAAACAGACTAAAACAATCTTATGACAAAACTAATGACATTGCAAAACAAATCAAGGATTTGTCAAAAATATTAGCAGAGAAAGAGTATTGTGACGTGATTAAACCAATAAAACTGAAATCTAATTTGTAGTACCCTGAATAGGTGTTGGAACAACAACAATCTCAGACCTAGTAAAAAGTACAAAATCCAAAAGAAAAAAGTAAAGTAACTTGTTTTTCTACATCCACTGCACTTTTGAGTGCAGTCTACCTTAGTTGTACCTGAGCTACAGGATGAACAGCAGCAAGGATATTTTGCTGAAGGTTTAAATGAGACAGACACCTTTTCACACCAACACCTACTGACAATTATGAAAAGCCACTTGACCTATTGTGCATGTTTTTGTACTGTGGGAGGAAACTGGAGTCCCCAGAGAAAACCCACACATGCACCAGGACAACACGCTGATGTAGATTCTCAGTCATCTAGGGCATAAATTAAAATATATATATAAATTCTGGACTGTTATTTTGTAGCTTGAGATATTTTGTTGTTTTTCCATTACTATTCAGGAGGAAGCTGTATCAGTTCAAAACAGAAGAGAGAGACCATGTTTGAGAGGTTAGCTCCAAGCAGAGAGGCTCTAGACAAGAGTCAAACATTCATGAGCTTAAGGTGTGCTTTGTACATACAAAGTCTATGTTATAGAAGCCACATACAGTGGGGTTAAAAAGTATTTGGTCAGCCACTGATTGTGCAAGTTCTCCTACTTAGAAAGATGAGAGATGTCTGTAATTTTCATCATAGGTACACTTCAACTATAAGACACAAAATGGGGGGGGGGGGGGGGTTGTCCAGTAAATCACATTGTAGGATTTTTAAAGAATTTATTCGTAAATTGTGGTGTAAAATAAGCATTTGGTCAACTATTAGCCCAAGCATTTTCTTTGTACATTTACATCACCATACCACTGAATCTAACAAGGTTGAGTAAGGTCTTCTGGACAGATTCAGTGCATCAGTGCTTCAGTGTGAATCCGTCCAGAGGACCTGGCTCAACCTTGTTAGATTAATCTACCCAGATTATTGTGCATGCATCAGGACATACCACTGAATAAACTGCTAATATTGTCAAATGTTTAGAGGCAGGTCACTACACTATTCCCCTCATTTTAAACTGTTTTAATGGGCTGTTGTGGTTTCTGCTCATCACTGCTGAAGAGGTTACAAAGACTGGCAGCTATTAGGTCACATTGGATGAATCTGGACCTCTTGTTGCCAAACTGTGGTAAAAAGCAGATTAAAGGATTAACTTCCACATTGCTCTACTGTCTCAGACAGAGTTGCAACAGAGGGAAAATCCTCTGTCATTCTTATCAATGGACCTTTTCCCAACTGGGTTGCCATGAACAGTAGGTTAATGTTACAGATAAAGATCTTCCAATGGGGTAAAAATCACACAATTAAGCAATAGCTGGGCATGTCAGTGCATCTTTGACTTATGAAGATACAATTACTGCCAGAAAGAATAAAAAAAAAAGACATATGCAATGTATTCTATACTTTGCCATAATACTGAACTCTGCTGAAGATCTGATGTCAAACAAGTTATAACAGTGATCTTTGTCACAATACACTGAGACTGTTTAAACAATTCATAAAATATTTCAGTGCTAAAGCCAACAGATATGGACTAGTAATTGAAAAGCTTTGAATTTTTTATTTTTAAAACAAAAAGTTAACCAATGTCATCAACTACAAGGCTATTTTTATCCAAAAATGTAAACCATGCAAATATGCCTTAATAAATGGATTGTACTGTTTAAGCTTTTGCCAAGTGGTCTTTACTTCAAATCTTATATTCCTGGCCTATAGAAATCCAGCCGTAGCTTGTTGAACAGCTGCCACGTGTGCAGGCAGGCCATGGCGACCCAGAGCTGGCAGAAGACCAAACTCATTTAGATTCTAGCATGGAAAGATGGGTCAACTGAGAAACCAACTGAAAGTCCTGAGGTGAAGTTGTCATGATTTGCATTGTATGGTCTGTGGGTCATCTTTTCTACCGTATACTTTCACTTCAACAGCAAGAGGAGAAACAATCTAGATTACCTGCTGTATAGCATAAATAAGTAAGATATTCTAATCCTACAAACTGAAGCAGGTGACTTTACAAAAACATTGATTCTGACACTGATCGTTATTCAAAACTGATTATAAACTATCTTATGGACAATGTCAGAAGAGAAGGACAAATTAATGATAAAAAGTATCACTACAAAGTCTAGGGATGCCTGATATTGGCATGGTATCGGCCGCTATTAGCATTAAAGTTCAATATAGGACATCAGCCATTCCATCAAAATAACTCACAGATATAAAAGGTGCCTTTATTGTATGAAAACCCAGTGACAAGGATGCCTGCAGCGGCAGCACGACGCAATGACGTCACGCACGCCTACCTGATGTCACGGTGGAGAGGAAAATTCATAATGTTGGCAGTGTGGAAGGTTTTTTTCGTTGGTGAGGATGTCGGATTCCGAATATTTTTGGACTACGTTGAGCCTCACTACATCGTCCCCAGTCGGAGATATTTTTCCGACTTACACGAGTTACAAGCCGTCATTTACGATGTCATTGAAAAGCTAATAGACGATTTTGTTGCCTTGAACCACTTTGGCTGTGGCCTGCCTGGGAGGAGTCAATGAGGGAAAGGACGGCCCCCAGAAACCATCTTAGCTCCAGCAAACTGGTTGGTCCACTTAAGGAGTTTACTGCTTGGTGGGGAAACAATTTACTGGAACTCCTCTGACTGATGAAGCGCTCTGGATAGAGGGCGAAATGTCTCTATAAAAAAAACTGTCCAGATGACCCTATTGATAATTATTGGATTTGGTACCTGGATGACTGAGCATGAACTTTGTTGCCCAATAGTCAATAGCACTTGGGTGAATTTTACCACAGACATTTGGACGTCGTGTTAGCCCCGTTAGCATGATTGGACTTACGGCACAATGGATAGAAAAACTTGGAACTTAAAAAGGCTGTCCTTCATGCACAAGAGTGCAGAGGATCCCACACTGCAGCTAGGAACCCGGAACAACAAGCCTCCACAAGTGAGACGGCATTGCAGGTGACTAATGATAAATAACATTTAACACTTTTCATTTAATATAAGTTAAAGTGCTATGCATATAATAAGGCTGTTACTTAATATATGTCACCAGCTCTTACAGCTGTTACACAGTTTTTGGAACAAATAAGCCTAAATAAGAGGGCTATGTTCTGACAAAAGGGAAGTATATAAAATATTGGTAATCGGCCAAATAAGTTTTAACATATCGGCCAAAAATCCAATATCGTGCACCCCTAACAAAGTCATGTAAATGCAACATTTTAAGTCAATATTTTCCTGTTGATGTACATGACTTATCATTCTGATTTATAATCTGCCCCAACATTAGAAGTGTACAGAATGGAACAAGAAAAAATAAATTATTAATTTATTAAGTTCCATGTTTTTAGCATCCTTTAACAGACCTGGCACACTGTTGACATAAATATATAATTAGGAAACAACAACAACTTATAAACATGACATATCCTAACCCCAATCCTTTATATTTGATTATGTGTGGGGGTTTTGTACTAGATCAAATCAAATTTATTTCAGTCAGATATTCTTCATTGCCGTGCGCACCACATGTGGTACATGTGGTGAAATGAAATTATGTACATAGGGTCCCAGTTACAGCCAACAAGAAAATGTAAAATAGTAATAAGATCTAAGATATGAACTAAGAAATACAAACTAAAAATATGCTAAGCATTAATCATATTAAAACAAACACAATACGCCAAACAGCAGCACGAACATGAGTCTGTGTGAGCAGATGAGCACGAATGAACACAGCAACATGAACAGATCAGCAGCAACATTGAAACAGATCAGCAGCAACATGATGTGATTTTTCACAGTGATTATCCTGGTTAGATATTCATGAGTCTAACAGCCTCAGGGTAGAAGCTGTTCCTCAGTTGTGGAACAGCTTCTACCAAAGCCAGTGAGTAAAAATGTGCTTTAAGATGAGTCTTAAAAACACCAAGTGTTGAAGCCTGTCTGATATGAGGAGGCAGCTGGTTCTACAGTTTAGGAGCTACAGCTGAAAAGGCCCAATCACCTCTGTGGACCATATTGGATTGCAGGATTACACTACTACTACTAAAATACAATTAGGAAGAGCATTTATGTAGTTCATAGGGGTGTAACAATACATCAATTTAAATTGATATATCGATTAAATGATTAATGATTCAATGCTATCGTGGCAAAACGAA